TATTATTATTATTATTTTTTTTTTTTTTGCGGTATGGGGGCCTCTCACTGTTGTGGCCTCTCCCGTTGCGGAGCACAGGCTCCGGACGCGCAGGCTCAGCGGCCATGGCTCACGGGCCCAGACGCCCCGCGGGATGTGGGATCTTCCCAGACCGGGGCACGAACCCGTGTCCCCTGCATCGCCAGGCGGACTCTCAACCACTGCGCCACCAGGGAAGCCCTATTATTTTTTTTTAAATTAACTAATTAATTAATTAAGTTTTGGCTGCGTTGGGTCTTCGTTGCTGCGCACGGGCTTCTCACTGCGGTGGCTTCTCTTGTTGCAGAGCATGGGCTCTAGGCTCATGGGCTTCAGCAGTTTTGGCACGTGGGCTCACTAGTTGTGGCTTAGTTGCTCCGTGGCACATGGGAATCTTCCTGGACCAGGGCTCGAACCTGTGTCCCTTACATCGGCAGATGGATTCTTAACCACTGCGCCCACCAGGGAAGCCCTGCACAGGTGACCTTTAAAGCCCAGCTGGACTCTGAAGAGGAGTCTCTCCAGACCTCCCCCTCGAGGCCTCTCTCTGCTCACTGTGCCCACCACCACCCTGGGCCTTGAGAGAAACCTCCCCTGACCACCTCTTCCTGACTCCCACAATGCTCTGCTTCAGACCATGCTCGGGGGGTGGGGGGGGGCCAGACACACCCATGTTTCCTGGAAGCAGCAGAGGGAGGCTGATGCATTGAGAATGACTTCGAGAAGCCTGGGAATGCCTCGGGGGAATTCCCCCAGAGAATGACGTGATCACGGTGGCCTGTTAGCTGGCTCTGGTTCGCTTTTTGGGTTCTCACCCAAGAACCTCTCTTCTGGGCTCCCTGTCAGCTCCCCATGACAGATGCTCTCCTGGACCCCAGTTCCCCAGATGGAACCAAGAGAAATGGAGTCCAAGGCCTCCTACCTAAGGCACGTGGTCCCAGGGACAGACACTGGCATTGATCGTTCATGAAAACCCCACCCCATGACCACAGCAGGGCCTCCTTCACTCCCAGCCCCTCCTGGAAGGCTCTTTAGGACCCCTGTAACTTCATACCCTATGGTGACCACAACATTCACCCCTGCCCGGCACACGGGCAGCCTGGGAGAGGCCGGAGGTATTCTGTATCTGAGGGCAAGGCTCAGGCCCGGCATTTAGTAGGTGCTCTGAAAACATGTCTGCTGAGTGAATCTTGTAGAAAGGGCCCTGGCAAGTGTGAAGAGAGGGGTTTGAACACAGTTCCAGTACTTTGAGGCTGTGTGACCACGGGCAAGCTCCTGTACCTCTCTGAGCTTCAGTTCTCTCATTTACACAGTGGAGATCAGAGCTTATAGACTCTTGGCTCAGAGGCCCTAGCTGGGTTGTAAATATGTTGTTTAGGGCTCATTCGGGGTTTAACTTTATTTTAAAATGAGTTCCCAACATTTAAAAGTTGGGAGATTTCCACCAAACATAATGTTTTTAGTTTTTATTGAAAAATGAATAGGTCTGGCTACACTGGACCCATCGTCCACATACAAAAATTGACTGGCCTGGGCAGGAGCTGCCCCTTTAATTGTGGTGTTTGGACACAGTCCCACGTCCACTTATTCCTTATAGCCTTGCCCAGCACGCTTCACACCAGTGTGTCTCTGCCTGGCCCCGACAGGTATCTGAGTTTGCAACCCCTGGATGTCAGCATGACCCGACTGTTCTTTGGCTCTGTGAGGCCTAAAGATGGCATTACAGGGTCCCTGAGTGATGAAATCCATTAACACCCTGGATAAGAAGCCACTTGGGCAGAGTGGAGAGAAACTGCTGTTTCTGAGGATGACACAGAGTCTATAAATAGCCATAGAGGCTGAGTGGTGACACCTACCCCATCTCACCTGGGGATGGGCATGTTTCAGTTCATGGCTCAGCCCAGAGACAGTCCTTGCTCCTGATGCCACTGAGGTCAGCACAGGTAGAAATGATTTCACAGCTGAGCCTGTGGGGAAGGTGGCATTTTCTCTGGCTCAGGCAAGAGGGAGCGATGATGTTTGATTTTTCAAAGAGGGTAGAAGGTGTAACGTGGTGGGGATGAAGGATTGCGCCATCCATGGCTCCCCAGTACTACCCAACAATGTTAGACCTCAGCCTGGCCTTCAGGATCCTCTGTGATTGCCACGCCCCTTCCCCTGCCAAGCTTTCAGCTCATGGTCAATATTGTAGCCTTTCTTTGAAGATGCCCTGACCTCTCCTAGCTCTGGGCTGGCTTTGGCTTATTCCCCCTCCGGAATCTCCTCTCTGCATCTTTTTGTCTCTGCCCCTCAAATGCAGTTGTCTCCAGGCTGACCCCCTAGGCAGAAACAATTTCCCCTGTCCCCTGAGTTCCACAGTCCCCCAGCTAACTCAGTTTCTATCTTGTTGTGTCGTCTGTCCAAGGTTTGTCTCTCTTGCCCTCCCCACCCTGTCCCAATTACCAGCTCCTCAACGATAGTGACACATGCAAACCCTGATCCTGGGATAGTGACACATGCAAACCCTGATCCTGGAGTCAGACGGATTCCTCCCAGCTCCAACACTCTGCCCTTGGGCAACTCACTCCCCAGCTCTTGGGGCCTCGCTTCCCTATCTGTGCAATGGAACTCTTTCTCAGGCTGCAGTGGAGAGCAGCCAAGCTAAGGGCTAGGCAAGGGCTTTGGGAACTAAAGTGGTTACATGAATGAAAGCAGCTCTTCCCTGGGTTAGGGCGGCTCATACTCCATTGGGTGGGAGATAAACTGAGGCCCTCCAGGAGCCGGCTTGAGAGACAATAGGGACCACTAATATATTTGGCATGGCTAAGGGCTATGTGAGCCAAGGGCCTGGAACCGATATGTGGGGCGATTCCTCTCTTTCTCTTTTGAATCTGCAGTATACACTGATACAGGGGAGTGTCCGCAAGATGTGCTGAGGGCCCAGATCGGGCAGGGAGCAAAGCCAGCTTCCTACTCAGGCCTGTTCTTCGTCAGGGCACAATCACAAAAACGGAGAAGCCATTCCCCAGAACAGAGTGAGGCCCCGTCCTGGGCTGGGACCTGGGGAGCGTCTGGGCTCCAGGACGCAGCTGGAGTATCACTGAGTACAGGCCCCTCCTGGGTCAGGAATAGAGAAGGGGACTGTGGACTTCCAGAAAAGGGTCAAGCCAGCATTCTCAGGAGGTTAAGACACTTTGACCCCTTGAATTGGCTTGGGTCAGCATTTTGCTTCCTGACCCCTTCCCAGGAGTCAATTTGGAGCCTGGGGCAGGTCAGTTTAGAGCTGGTCCCAGCTGAAGCCCACCTGATTCCAAGGCCCAGACCGCACCCTCTTCTCTGGCCCCTCAGAACTCTGAGCCCCTGCAGCTGAGGCCCATTACTGTCTGAGCCCCAAACCCTGAGCAAAGGCCATCTGGACGGGACTTCCCCGGTGGCACAGTGCTTAAGAATCTGCCTGCCAATGAAGGGGACACGGGTTCGAGCCTTGGTCCGGGAAGATCCCACATGCCATGGAGCAACTAAGCTCGTGGGCCACAACTGCTGAGCCTGTGCTCTAGAGCTCGCAAGCCACAACTCCTGAGCCTACGAGACACAATTATTGAGCCCACGTGCCACAACTACTGAAGCCCGCGTGCCTAGAGCCCACGCTCCGCAACAAGAGAAGCCACCGCAATGAGAAGCCCACGCACCACGACAGAGTAGCCCCCGCTCGCCGCAACTAGAGAAAGCCAGCATGCATCAACAAAGACCTAATGCAGCCAAAAATAAAAATTAAAAAAAAATGACACATACACACACAAAAGAATCAGAGGTTTAAAAAGAAAAAAAGACCATCTAGACTCTGTCCATCACTGATGCTTATGGCACAGTACTTAACAGCTGACAAAGTCCTCTCTCTCTTGTTCATTTTATCCTTGGAACAGACCTGGAAAACAAGCAGGGTAGGGATTAGCATCACCCCCTATTCTGCAGAGGGGAAACTGAGGCCCAGAGGGTCTGGGAGGACTGGCAGAGGCTGGCTGCGGAGACTCCAGGGTTCCCCTACCTCTAGGCAGTGCCTTCCTCTCTCTGGGCCTCATTTGCACATACGGAGAGTGCAGGTGTTGGCTCGGATGCTCTCTCAAGTCCCCTGCCTGTCATTCATTTCCTGTGGGCCTCCCATGCCCCACCTCAGCATGTGGGGTAAATCCCCCTCACTGTGGTTTCTCCTGCTCAGTTCCCCTTCTCTTCCTGTCTTGCCTTCTTGCTTTTCCTTGGACTGGTCCCTGTGGTATGTTATCTGCAGGTGCAGTTTTGGGGTGAGTGGGGGTGGGAGGGGAGCTAGCAGCCATCTGTCCTGGTTGCTGGGGATCAGGGCTGTCAGTCTGTGGGGTCGGGGAGGAAGAGCCAGACCCAGTCCTGGTGGAGGACTGGGGGCCTGGTAAGAGCATGACAGGCCCAGGCTGAGTCTGGAAGAGGGACTGGTTTCTAGAAGCGTCTGGAGACAAGCCCAGGATAGGACAAGGAGGCCTGTGGTCACCAGGGGAGGTGCCTGCCTGCCACCTCTCGCTCTAATCCCGCTTCTCATCTCTACCTTTCTTTGACTGACTCTCAGTGCCACGGTCTCTCCTGGCCCGCCTGTCTGTCTACAGGGCCTATGGGGCGAGGGGCAGCCGTACAAAAGTCTCAAACGTAGACTTTTGTTATATTCAATGAAAACATATGGATGCTCGTATTTTGGAGTTAACCACGTTTTAGCATTTTCCCCTTTTTTCATCTATTGGGACCCTCGCAAAATGGAACCGGCCTCCTTTTGCGAAGTCTTGTCTGCCCCTCAGGTCTCTGGCCCTGGTTGGGGTGTGCTCAGAAGACTTCACGCCCCACCGCCCCACCGGCCGGGCTGCGCTGCCCGATTGGGCCAGCAGGGGGCGCCCGCGGTCAGGCCGGAGGGGGCGGGATGGAGGCGGGGCCACGAGGCCGGCTGGGCCAATAAAGGCGGCGGCACGCCGCCGCGGCTAACTCCGCCCTTTGGGCGCCCGTGACCCTCGCTTCTGGAGTCTCTGCTGGCTCGTGGCTCTCCCGCCCGGACCCGCACCCACGATGCTGGCTCTCCGCTGCGGCCCCCGTCTGCTCAGCCCCCTCTCCGGCCCGCGCTCCGCGCACCTGCGTCTACCCGCGGCCCGCGCTTGCAGCAGCGGCTCCCGAGACCCGTCCTCTTCCTCCCGGAACCCGCTCGTGTACCTGGACGTGGGCGCCGACGGGCAGCCGCTCGGCCGCGTGGTGCTGGAGGTGAGACCACTGGACAGGACCGTGCTGGACTGGGCGTGGGGGACGGTCGCGTAAGAGCTCTGGACCCCGGGCCGGCGCTGTGCCTGGCTCGCGGAGTGACCTTGCTTCCAACTCCTGGCCTCTGGGCCTCAGTTGCCCCATCTCTAAGGAGGGGCATCAGATTGGTCTCTCCAGGCCTCCCCTCAGAACTGTGGACTAGTGGAGGCGGGAGGAAGGCCTCAGTGGAGGAGAAAGCTCAAGGTCAGATCGTAGGCTACGAGGGCCCTTCCCGTTGGCCGGGGTCGGGGAGGGGCTCCGAGACTTAACGGGGCGGGATCCTAGTCCCGGAGCTTCGAGGTGGGTTTCGGGGGCCTCCGGGGGCCGGGTGGCGGGCCCGGCTGGGCGCTCACACTGTGGCTCTTGCAGAAGGCCGAGCGGACCCCAGCCCCGCCCTCGCCATCGGGCTCTCTGCGTAGCAAAGGTGGTTTTGGGCCGCCTCCTCTCCCAGCAGGGCGGCTGGCCCGGCCTTGGGCTGCAGCCACCAGAGCCGGCATAGAGCTCTTGGAGTCCGGGCAGTGTGCTCGGAGCTCATCGCCGCAACTCCATCCCCAGCCACCCTTCCGAGGTGACACTTTGCATCTGCCCTGGCTCTTTGGGCCTTCTTGAAAAACAGAGCAAGAAACAGACCTAGTAGTCCGGAAGGTAACAGAGGAGAAGCTTGGGTGTAGCCTTCAAGCCCACTTTGAACAAAGGGGCCTCAGTTAAGCCTCAGTTCACTCTTCTGCAAAATGGAGAAGACCTTTATTTTAAAGGTTCGGTGCCAGTGTGGCTCTTGCAGCTGGGAGGCAAGGGGCAGGCTTAGATGGGACCCCAGCCTCCCCTTCCCCCCACCCCTCCTGCCTCTCTCTGAGCCTCGGTTTCCCATCTGCCCATTGAGGAGCTTGGACTAGCTCCTCCCCAGGGCCCTCTCTCCAGGCCTTGAGTCTCTGATGCTTTGGGCCCAGCTGAAGTGGCTTTGCCAGTTCTGCCCCTAGAAGTAGGCCAGGATGGTGTTGGCATCTCTTCTGACAAGTTAGGAAATCGAGGCTGCCTCCTCCCAGCCTGGAGTTCAGGAAGCAGCTGGCAGAAATGATAGCTGCTCAGGTGGCCTCCCCCGCAGGGCTGGGAGTGACAGGAATGTGCTTGGCCCCTCTCCTGGGCCGCCGTGCTGGTTGGGTCCCTCTTTCACCTGCCTCCGGACTGACCGTCTTGTCCCTCTTCTCTCCCCACAGCTGAAGGCAGATGTCGTCCCAAAGACAGCAGGTAAGTCAGGGCCCAGGGCCTTCTGAGTCCAGTCTGGGTGGACGAGGGAGGGGCAAGGCGAGGTGGGTGGGGTGGTGAGAGGAGTCTGGGGCATGAGAACCGCGACTAGATGGGAGTTCCACGTGTGGCTCAGCTGCTGAGTACCCTGGGGCAGCCGCTGGTCCTCTCTGAGGCTTAGGGTTGGCCCCGCCCACCTGTCCAGTAGCAGCCTCTGAGTCAGGAGAAGATACACACACATTTCCTCTGGGACAGCTTCCTCCCCCCTGGTGCCCGACGGGGCAGGCTGGTGGGTTCACAGCCCTTGCTTGGACTCCCCGCCCTGCTGACCCGGTGCTGGAAGAGCCAGGAGCGTGTGTTCTTGCCACAGTGCTCGGACACTGAAGTCAGGGCGCCAGATGACTTGTCCCAGGTCACACAGCCAGCGCAGACCCAGGGGCGGGGGTCCTTCCGTGTCCCGGCACGGGGTAGGTAGAGAGGGCGCTGGCTGGAACAAGTTGTGGCCCCTGGGTTGAGGCCTGGCCCTGCTGACCTGCCTCTTCCTTCAACCCTCAGAGAACTTCAGAGCCCTGTGCACCGGGGAGAAGGGCTTCGGCTACAAAGGCTCCACCTTTCACAGAGTGATTCCGTCCTTCATGTGCCAGGTAGCGGGGGCGTCTCCCTGCCTTGGGTTCCTCTTCTCTAAGTGGGAATAGTGACGGGGACGCCTCGAGGGATTCTCATGAGGATTAACCAGCGTGCATGTGCCTGGAAAGTACTGAATGGAGGGCAACTGCGGTCACTCGCTCGGCCTGTCCTCTTACTCCGAGAGGCCGGAGCTTTTCCTGGCTGCCACAGAGCCTTCCCTGCCCCAGGAGTTAAGCAACGGGGCAAGCGGCAGGACGGGCCCTGCCTGGCGGGGTCGGGAGAGTGAAGCAATGGAGGGAGAGCAGGCATCGGAGTGTGGATGTGCCCAGGGTTACCTCTGAAGGCTTTGGAGGGCCAGCACATTCAGACAGTCTCTGCCCATGCCCCACAGTGTGTCCCACTGAGCACTTGGCATGGGAGATAAGGCTAGAGAGGAGGAGGAGGGAGGAGACTGGGCACAGACAAGAGCACACAGGTCTGGACTTGGAGCCTCTTTCCAGAGAAGGGCATCTTTCCCGGTTAAATGAGTCTGTTCTTTAGTCATGTGTTCTGCCTCTTTTCAAAAGCATTAGTTTTGCTGTGTCAGATGTTTTGCAGGTAGGTGTTGAAAGCGAGAACTTCCCCCGGGGCCAGGACGGGGCCAGGACCCGAGCTATGCTGGGGGTTGTCCTGTGTGAGGTCAGATCCTGCTAAGACAGGGGCTAGTGTCTGAGGCCAGCAGACCGAGAGGCAGGAGCATGGATGTCATGGCCACTTTGAAGTCCTTTCAGCCTGGAATTCTCCTCCCCCCTTCCCTCCACCCCGACCTGGTGGCTGTCATCACATCGTGGTGAGTGGCAGTGGGTTGAATGTGACAAATTCAGGGAGGGGTGAGGGCTGTGGCTGTGAGACAGGCCCGGCCCCGCCCCGTGGCTCTCAGCTGCAGCGACTCCTGGCTCTGCCCGAGGCTGTGGATGAAGCTGGAGCTGAAGTGGATGTCCCAGCCGGGCTAGGGTCTTCCTCGGAGCCACAGCAGGCAAGGGCAGACACTCCAAAGCTGGAGGGCTCTCGGAGGCATGGGATGGTAGCACCGGGACGCCCAGGCCAGGGTTTTGAATCATCCCTCTCTGGGCACACGTTGGCATTTGGGGATGCTTCAGCCGGGCAGGGCAGGTCACCCGTGTCACCTGAGGATCCCATCTCAGGAAAACAGCAACATGACCATGGCCGGGGGCTGGGGCTCTGCTGCAGCTGGCAGCCCCTGGGCTCTTCTGGCCGTGGCTCCCATGGAAGCCTCAGGCGAGCTGTGAGGAATGACGCCAGCCCTGGCTGGGCTCTGTCCTGGGCCTGGTGGAGGGGAGATGCTGGGACAGTGAGGGGGACTCAGTGTGGCGAACTGGCTCTGTGCTGGCTGCTGCCGCTTCCCACAGACCACACTTGGGAATGAGGGTTCCTGGTTTTCTCCCTATTTACCCTCCAGGAGTTGTGGGTGGAAAATAGTAGGTCGCTACGAAGCATCTCGGAATGGCCGAGATGTTTTTAAGCATCATTTAAAAACTCGCTCAGGCAAAAATGAATCGTTTGGAAACCAGGGTAGTTATTGTGGCAGAAAATATCTAAGCTTTATCTTATTGTTGCTTATTTTCCTTAGTATTGTATTAGTCCTTCTGACCTCTTCGCCTGAGGGCTTCCGGCTGGGTGGGCTGGGGGCTGCGTCCTAGCGCTGGAGTAACACCCCTCTGCCAGCTCTGGTGGCGACGTCTCAGCCCATGCTCTGTGCTCGCAGGCCGGGGACTTCACCAACCACAACGGCACGGGCGGGAGGTCCATCTACGGGAGCCGCTTTCCTGACGAGAACTTCACACTGAGACACAAGGGGCCAGGTGAGCGCAGGTCGCCAGTCCCGGGGCCGCGTGCCCTGAGCTATGACCCTGCCTCTGCCATCCCAGCAGGCCTGGAGGCTGCAGCCTGATTGCCCCATATGATTGCTCCACATCTGACGTTGCTCCTTCCTTCCTTCAATGCTCTGGGTGGGCTTGTTGGGTTTTCCTAGAGCTTTTTCGTTCTGAGCTCTCAGTTTCAAAACCGAACCTTCCTTTGAGAACCTGCGGGAGAGAGCCTTGAAGCAAAACCCCAGCGTTGTGTCAGACCCAAGGAGCAACATGGGAAAGTCTAGAGTTCAGGGCTGGGGGTCCCGCTCCAGCTCTACCACTGAGAGCTTTTTCCACGAGGCCCTTTTCTCCTGTGGCGGCAGAGGCGGACAGACCCTGGGGAGCTGCGTCCTCTGGGCCCTGGTTCCCTCTTCTGAGCCCCGGGATCTTCTGGCTCAAGCATCTTTCATGTGGTTTTCCCCATCTGCTCATCTGAGTGACTCCCGTGTGAGATGCCTCCTGGGGGCAGCCTGGTCATCCTGCTTGTGTTTGCAGGTGTCCTGTCCATGGCAAATGCAGGCCCCAACACTAACGGCTCCCAGTTCTTCATTTGCACCGTAAAGACAGACTGGTGAGTTGCTTGCTCCTGGCTCCAGGCCCTCTGGGAAGATGGGGTGGTCTTGCAGCTGGAGGGGGAAGCTAGTTTGAGGCTGGACTCTGCTGTGGGACAGTAGCCCTCACCCAGGCTGTGTGTCTGTATGAGAGGAGGAGAAAGTTTGTGAACGGATTGAGGGAGAATTTGGGTTATTCTCGTAACTGTCTTTATTAAGCTTCCCATTGTTGCTGTCAGCTGGAGTTTTCTCAGTGTGTTTTGTGCACAGCGCGCGCGCGCACACACACACACACACACACACACACACACACACACGAAAGGATTCTTTTACCAAATATATTTGTGAAATGCTGCAGAACATACTAGGCCTCAAGATGGCCTGTGGCAGAAACCTGTTTTCTTGGTTTAACCCGCTATTTCCCTGGCTTACTTGACCTTGGAATGCACCTTGGAAAATGCTGCAGGAGACGTTTGGATATCACACCGGATTTCTCATCAGGCATTAGCATGGGCCTGCAAATAGCTACCAGCCCCTTAGAGCCCTCTTTCCCAATGCCCTTGTATTTTAGGGATGTTTCCCAGGTAAATTTTCCACTACCTAGTAGGTTTCTCTGCCCAAAGTCCCCTGTGTCCTAGCCCTGAGGCATCTCAGGGAGGGGAGGGGACAGCAGCTGGCCTGGAGCTAAGACTAAATAAAGCCCATTTCCAAGGACTTTAGGGAGACCTGGGTAGTGGGGGTTACTAGTGGTCTCTACCCTCCGAGCCAGAGGGACGTGGATGTCAGGGTGGGCAGGTTGTTGCTGGCTCTGCCTGCCCTCCTTCCGTGGAACCCCTGGCGGATCCTGAGGTATAACCAGTTTTGGCCTTGCTGGCCCTGAGCTAAGCTGCCTTTTAGATTCTTGGGACTGTCTCAGATTGAGAGCTGCTTGGGACTCGCATAGGTTCACCGCACATATTATCTTGGCTCTCACCTCAGAATTTATGACTGTTAAGATAGTTCCATTTACACAGACCTCTTATTTCTTCAGAGTAGTTCAATATCCCTTTATCCCCCTGTGCAGAACGAGAATAATTCACTTTTTGTAGGTGAGGTTCCCAGGATTCAGGTTAAGTGGCCTGGGGTTAGGTCACACAGCAGGTGAGGCAGAACATAACCTGGGAGGGAGCCGTCATCTGATGTGTTCTGGGGGGCTCAGCAAGGCTCGATACCCGAGCTGTGAGAGGTGGGGCCAGCTTTTCAGTGTGGGTTCCTTTCAGAACTGCTGTTTTTGGTAAATAGTCGCATGACCAAGGGGCTGTGACCCTGGGCGACACTGCACCACCCTCTGAAATGCTGCAGAACATACTAGGCCTCAAGATGGCCTGTGGCAGAAACCTGTTTTCTTGGTTTAACCCGCTATTTCCCTGGCTTACTTGACCTTGGAATGCACCTTGGAAAATGCTGCAGGAGACGTTTGGATATCACACCGGATTTCTCATCAGGCATTAGCATGGGCCTGCAAATAGCTACCAGCCCCTTAGAGCCCTCTTTCCCAATGCCCTTGTATTTTAGGGATGTTTCCCAGGTAAATTTTCCACTACCTAGTAGGTTTCTCTGCCCAAAGTCCCCTGTGTCCTAGCCCTGAGGCATCTCAGGGAGGGGAGGGGACAGCAGCTGGCCTGGAGCTAAGACTAAATAAAGCCCATTTCCAAGGACTTTAGGGAGACCTGGGTAGTGGGGGTTACTAGTGGTCTCTACCCTCCGAGCCAGAGGGACGTGGATGTCAGGGTGGGCAGGTTGTTGCTGGCTCTGCCTGCCCTCCTTCCGTGGAACCCCTGGCGGATCCTGAGGTATAACCAGTTTTGGCCTTGCTGGCCCTGAGCTAAGCTGCCTTTTAGATTCTTGGGACTGTCTCAGATTGAGAGCTGCTTGGGACTCGCATAGGTTCACCGCACATATTATCTTGGCTCTCACCTCAGAATTTATGACTGTTAAGATAGTTCCATTTACACAGACCTCTTATTTCTTCAGAGTAGTTCAATATCCCTTTATCCCCCTGTGCAGAACGAGAATAATTCACTTTTTGTAGGTGAGGTTCCCAGGATTCAGGTTAAGTGGCCTGGGGTTAGGTCACACAGCAGGTGAGGCAGAACATAACCTGGGAGGGAGCCGTCATCTGATGTGTTCTGGGGGGCTCAGCAAGGCTCGATACCCGAGCTGTGAGAGGTGGGGCCAGCTTTTCAGTGTGGGTTCCTTTCAGAACTGCTGTTTTTGGTAAATAGTCGCATGACCAAGGGGCTGTGACCCTGGGCGACACTGCACCACCCTCGTTTCTGCTCACCTGGCTCACCTCTCCTCGCAGGCTGGATGGCAAACATGTTGTGTTTGGCCATGTCAAAGAGGGCATGGATGTCGTGAAGAAAATAGAATCTCTCGGCTCCAAGAGTGGGAAGACATCCAAGAAGATTGTCATCACGGACTGTGGCCAGGTGAGCTAACCCGCCATGGCCAGCCAGGGCTCTAGGCCAGTGGCAGCTGCTGGCAACAGTGAGTTGACTCACCCAGGCGGCCGCCTCGGGCTCCCAGCGCAGGGGCCCCTTGGAGTTGCCTGTGCTCCCTCCACCTTCTCTGTGCTTCCGGAAGGCCTCTCAGGAATGTCAGACCTCACAGGACCCACCAGGCTGCTTCCCCAGTGCCTGATCTTCCCCAGCGCCCTGTTTCTGGACACCCATCACGGACACCGTGTCACTGCTCCTCGTCTGGCATCTCCTGTGATCGCCCTGCCCAAGCTCACCTGTGCCTTGGACGTTGAGGGTGGTGATGGGTTAGCTCTGAAGGCAGTTTCTGCCTTTTCTTTGACCAAGGGGGAAAGCCGGTTGCTGTAAAGGGCTGTAATAGCTGTTTAATGTCGTCTTCCTAATCGGAATAATTTAGCAAGACTCCCTGGAGCTGGAGCTGTGGCACTAACTACTCCAGGCTGTGGTGTGACCTGAAATTGGTGGCACAGGCCACGAGCTTGGCCTTTGGAGCACAGTCTGGGCGTTTGTGAAGGTCCCACGGCTGAGACCTTTTATCCCAGTCACTGTGAATCCCATTGGTTTGCTGTTCTTGGGAGAGTCCACGGGGGTAGCATCAGCTGAACCTGCGGACAGGCCCACTGCGAGCTGTGCCTGGTCAATGTGAATTCCCGAGTCGAAAACAGAAATGACTTGTAAATGCCGTGTGCTCTGGAAGGAAGTCAGTGTGTATTCCCTGGTGGGCTTTGATATCTTCTGTGTGTCTTATAAATTATATCTACTGATTATATACACAATATACTTCTGGAACATTTCTTTGTGTTGAGCTTAAATGTGAAAATAAATCCTGTTTTCTATAAAAGACTGGGGTCCGTGCTTTAGGAAGCAGTGTCTGTAACAAGTATTCGGAGCTGACGTTTATTGTTACCACTGTCACTCAGTGCTCCACGGAGGGCCTTTCCGTGGACTCTCAAACCCCCCAGCAACCTATGAGGGTATTCTCATCATCCTGTTTAACAGACAAGGAAATGGACTCAGACAAACTGTCTTAGTGTTCACAGCCCATCAGAGCCCTGGTGCCACCTCTGGGTGACAGAGCCTCAGTTTTGCTCAGCTGTATAATGGGGTAACAGTGCCCACCTCACAGGATGATAAGGGTCAGATGTGATCTGTGTAAAGTGCACAGCACGGGCCCTGGCACATGGTCTTAATAAGGCTCTGGAGTGACGAGGACAGTATTTCCTGTGTGTCTGGGTCTTAGAGGAGGAGGAGCTGTGATTAATCTAGGGCTAGATGTGGACTTTACTACCCTCGATGTGCCGTTTAAATTTGAAGTTAAGTTACAGGTGTGTCTGAATTCACAGGGAGAGCCGATTGGGGGGTGGGAGGAGGGCTAAACATTTCCTTAAACAGCCAAGGGAGGCACAGTCCGAATACCAGAAGAATCACAGTGTAATTAGCATTGCCTCACATTGGAGTTCCCTGAGTCTGATGATGTGTGGTCACAGGTCCTTGAAGGCATTCTGAGGTCACAGTGGCTGGACTTGGGTCATCTGGAATATGGGGTTCCCTGAGTTATGTGAGGTCACAGGTAGATGTAGTCACTCTGGGGTCATGGCTGGAGTTGGGTCATGGGAGTCATGGAGAGTTTCCATGAAGTCAGTTCAGCTACATGGGTTGGGAACTTAGCCGGCCTAACAGTTTTCAAACAGTTCTCAAGAGCCTTGGAGGTCCTCAGGCACGGGCCCCTGAACCCCCTTTGAATCATCAATACCCTCTGTTTTCTAAAAGGGATTTCATTTGAAGAATGGGATCCTAAGCCAAATAATAATGGGTTGTTGCTCGACCCTTCCAACCAACATTTTACAGATGGGTAAACTGAGGCCCCGAGAGGGGACATGGTTGCCCAAGGTGACCCCCTGAGTCAGTTGGCAGAGCAGGGGCTAGAACCCCGGACCTGCCAGCCCGGAGGGTTTTCTGTTGGAGGCCTTTCGGGGTGCATAGACCCCTTTGTCCTCGGATCACACGCAGTCAGAGCTCTTCTGATTTCTGAGGTCAAAGCCATGATTTTGGTCCCTGTGGAGTTTCCTCTTGACCTCTGGGGACTCTAGGGAGGCAGTGGTGCTGTTGACAGGTGTGAGGGTCAGCTCCTTGAGGTGTGACCCACTGGCCCCCTGGTGACTTCTGAGGGGTCTCGGGGTCACAGAACACGTGGGGCATGTGTTTAGTTCACAGAGCATTTCCTTTCCAATGAGGAGGAAGCACGTGTGCGTGCGTGCGTGTGCGCGTGGGTTCGTGTGCGTATGTCTGCGCGCACGCGTGTGTGCGCACACGCGCGCGCGCGTGTGTGTGTGTCCGTCCGTGCAGAGGAGTCTAGCGTGGGCTAGTGGAAGAAAGAATGCAGGAACTTCCTAAAAACAGTTTCCTGAAGGTGGGGCTGTTCCCTGCTGTTCTCTCTTCCCAGAACTCTTGCACAAGGGCCTGAGCCTGGTCTTACTACATAAAGCAGGAGCCTGTGTAATATACAGATAGGATATTGACTTGTCGCTGGTACACGGTGCCTAATGCATGCAGGAAGCAGTGAGGCATACACGTGCTCTCACAGATGGAATCATATGTGACGCCTTGTAAATTCACAATGTGTCTAAATATCTGAAATAGCATTTTTATGAGACAACACATGATAGCTTTTCAAAATGACCTCACTGAGGTATAATTTACGTACGATAAAATTCACAGATTTTAAGTGTGCGGATCAATCACTTGACAAATTCATACACTGAGTAACCACCACCAAATTAAGTTATGGAACATTTCCATCTCTCCAGAAAGATACCTCTGTGCCTGTTCCCAGGAAGCCACTGATTCTATCACTGTAGACTAATTTTGCCTGTTGTAGAACTTTGTATAAATGGAATCCTACAAGATGTACTTTTTGTGTCTGACTTTCGTGTAGCGTGTATGAAGTTGTGGGAGAATTTAACACACTTCTGGGCTTTATAGGATGTTGCTCCACGAAGAGGAATGTCAGTAAGTGTTTCCAAGGTCTGCTCAGGCCTAAAGCAATGCTTCTCCTAGGACTCATGGGGTGCTGGGAAAGCATGCAGATTCCTAGGCCGCGGCTGAGACCTGTTGAATACCAGTCTCTGAGGGTGGGATCTAGGAATCTGAATTTCCAAATAATGATAATTCAACTAAAGTTTAAGAGTTTGAGTGTAGGCCAGAAGGGGCAAGATTGAAAAGGGAGACCACCAGACCACTGGAGTCATTGTCGACTTGCTGAAACATTTGTTGCTGGATACTCCGCCACTTGTAAAAGATGCTTCCCTTGAGGAGTCTGGCTGATAACTCTTGGGTGGTGGGTAGGGCACCCTGTGCAGCCCAAGCTTCGTGGGGGCTGGTGGGAAGCTGTGCTCTTCCATAACTGTTTCCCAAAGCCTCAGCCGATGGAGAGGCCTTGCAGGGGAGGAGTTCCCATGGTGTAGCCCTCGGTTCTTCATTTCTCATCAGGAGGAGGCTCTGGCTTTTGTGGGCCCAGACTGGAGAACATTTCTCAATGAATAGCTTCTGGAGGCCACGAGTCAGATCCATGTCCAAGGTCCACTGGAACAGGGTGGATAGAGAAAGTCTTGGTTCCATGCTGAGTGTTCTGCTGGTTGCATATATCTGTGAATATACTAAAAAAACTTTGAATTATATACTTTAAGTGGGTGAGTTGTATGACACGTGAACAATATCTCAATAAGTCTGCTTAAAAATATGTGTTAGTAAATTCTCAGAAGGCTTCGGGTTGTAAAAGCTGTTTTTCTGGAGTCCTGTCCCTCTGGAAAATCCTGAGATTTGACCCCGTTATGGAAGTGGTTTGGTGGGTCTTGGGCATTGCCTTTCAAAGCACCTGCCCCAGGTGAGGTTACCACAGTGTTTTTAGACAAAGAAGTCTGTTCTTCTCAGACACAGAAGGGCAAGGCACTTGCACAGGCAAGGGAGGAATGGAGTGACTGGAGGATTCAAGTTGTTGGTTTCATTTGGACCCAAGCAGATGTCTCCATTACGAATTTCAGGATCCCCCTCTTTCCCACCGATGCCCTTTCACACGAAAAACTTAGTGAGACTGTGAATTCAAATGTTATTGTATCTCAGCAAGCTACACAATTAATTTTTGTTTGATTTTAAGGGATTATCAGTCTAGGGTCTACAAGAAGTGAGAGATGTTTTAGAGGTGTCATGGAAGCTTTCTGGTTCTCAGACCTTAACGTAAGCTGAGAATTAAAAGACATGAGTTTGTTATCTTCTTTTGGTAAACAGTCAAGCATGCTCAAAATAATTCACCCCACACTATTGTCCTTATGGCCATCGATACTGCCGTAAGCGTCAAGTGTACAGCCACCTGGCCTCCCAAGGCACATGCTTCTCTCGTCACTTAACCACAGGTGACAGCATGATTAATTGTGATGTCACTGCATGCCAAAAATTACCATCATCCCACTTCCAGTTGGCAGGTAGTTCAGCCCTGCCGTCAAGCCCAAGGGCACAGCCAAACAAATCTCGAAATCCCATCTTTGTGGGGTTATCTCCTAGGACCACTGCCTGTGTCAATTCTTTATTGATCAGGGTCCAGACAGGATACAGAAACAACAGAGTAATTCGAACAGGGAACGTTTATTATCAAAAATTATTAACCGGGGCTTCCCTGGTGGCACAGTGGTTGGGAATCCGCCTGCCAATGCAGGGGACGTGGGTTCGAGCCCTGGTCCGGGAGGATCCCACATGGCGCGGAGCAACTGGGTCCGTGTGCCACAACTACTGAGCCCCCGTGCCACAGCTGCTGAGGCCCGCGCGCCTGGAGCCGGTGCTCCGCAACAGGAGAGGCCACCGTGGTGAGAGGCCCACGCACTGCAGTGAGGAGTGGCCCCCGCTCGCCGCAAATGGAGAAAGCCCGCGCACAACAAAGACCCAACGCAGCCAAAAATAAAAAAATTTAA